TTCATCAGAAACAGGGTACCACTTAATGAGAGAGACACACACCAATGTTCAAACTTTCCTCTTCTTCAAAACTTTGACTACTGAAAAATGTTACAACATTTGAAATGATATTCTTCATGTCATTAAACATGCTACTTCTGAGACTGCACAAGTCACAAGAAGGAATATAGTTGGAAACCCTGACTAAATAGTTAATACCAAGAATCTCCCACAGTACAGTTCCATAAATACCCCCTTGTATACTCATAATAACTTGCACTTCAAGTTAAGATAAAATCCTTTCCAAGTCTCCTTAGCCATACCAAGCATGGGAGTCCCAATATTCTATAGCAAAATCTCTGTCACAATGACTTTGTTCTATACGAAGAATAAAATCTTTGTCCCTTAGTTGCAGTAGAATGTTACACTACAATGTCATGACACCCAGTTTTGATATTGCACTCTTCTAGTAATCAATCCAAAATAGAAAGCATCTTTATTTAGTAAAATACATCATCTTCAAAATATACCATGATTCAATTAATTATAATCTATATGATAAGAACATCCTCTAATAATACAATCTTCTTCAGATTTGGCAAAAAGCTTTTCACCACAAGATTCTTAATCATTTAGTATTCCATTTCAGAAACATTTGATGACCATAGACCAAAGAAAACTATAAATAAATAACTCCCTCTTAAACTTATTTTGAGAGTTTCCTCATTTAGTGTCTCCTAGCCCTTTATAATCTTTTAAACAGGGGAGTAACAAACTGCTGAGATGGTGTTTCAAAATCTGATTGAACATTAGTACCTTTCTCAATGAACACATCACTAATCTTGATCCTAAAGTTACTCATCACTAAAATTAATTCTCTTAATAAAATAACTTAGAAACATACCTTGTTCTCATAAAAGTAGTAGATAAGACCTTTGAAGACTTCATAGATAATACATTCACTTGACAAAGAAAATCATATACACGTTTCTATCCACCAGGACCTTCACTTTGCATTGAACCATTCAGATCCATAAAATAGGTTCTTTAGCTTTTTCAATTGACTAATCTTGACTTCTTATTTCTCTGAACACCAAGTAAAAGAATAAATAGTTGAATACTTGTGAGTTTCACAAATAGAAATAGTTCATTATTTCTCAGAGGGACCCCAAATATCTCATAAGAGACACAACATTCTTCCTCGATGATACAATTGAATCAGTCGTTAAGTAAAACCAATTACCAAAACTTAGAGAATCCACCTTGAACTCTTTAGTAATCCAATGTCCTTAAAACTTCCCTTTTAATATCATCCACAAAGTACCATTGACTAGAATGAGACTTAAACAAACTACCAGAAACACTTTTATAAATGTTAAGTGTCTGGAACAATTAATGTCAAAATACCAATCATCTTAATTGGAAACCTAAGAAGATATGAGAGATAAGGCAATAATCACCTTTCCTGAGCATTAACCATTGCTTGGTTAAGTAACACTGGGCTTGGCCTTTGAGAAAATAACCAAAAACTGTTAACATCAGCTCAACATAGAAGAGATATCTTCAGTGCAAGTAAATCATTTTAGCATGAGTAAGAAGAATGTCTAGCATAATGTTATGACATCCTCGACTAAGCTATCCGTTTGATAACAATAACCTTTCGTCACTTTAAGTTTTTCTCTTTTCACATAAGCTTAGAAGAAAAACTTAACCTCCTTAAACTTCTAATTTTCTTCCTTCTTGAAGAAACTCTTCCCTCTGATCTGTATCATCCTTACAAATTTGATAAACATATCAAGCCTTTTTAGGATTAAAAACAAAGTCACATCACCTTAGCAAAAACATAAAGTATATACTTCTTCATTCTCTTAGGACATAAGATCAGAAATAAATCCCCTCCTGTTTCTTCATAGTTAAGAACTTCTTTCATTCTAGATATAAGTCATAGAAATAAACTTCCAACTCATTATGAGATAAATCTCCAGTTTATAAATCTTCATAAGAAGTACATCTTCCAATCAGACCTGTAAAATACAACTTGCATAGTTGTTCTTGAGAAAAAGCAGTGCATTCTGCTTCACAAAGATCCAAGGTCTCCACACTCATGAGAATGCTTTAACATTGATAGATCTTTACTCCAGTTCTAACATTCTTTTAGCATCACAGACATGGTGAATTCAGTACAAAAGCCTTTGACATTTAGTATATATATTTTGTCCAATTTTCTCAACTCCTGATTGGATCATTTTCCAAGGAACACACAAGTAATAGGAAATCCTTTATTAGAGACCAGAAACCAAGCTCTACTAGAGTTAATAGCAAAATAAATTACTCTTGTCTTTCTTCAATGCTTGTCATTTCATGCCAAACCTCTAGAAAAGAGACATGAGAATCTTCTTCTTGATCAACCTCATATCTCAATTATTTCCTCCAAACACACTTAGATGCGCCTTTATGAGTGGACTTGAGAAGATCTCAAGTATCATTGGCCACAATTCAAGTGGTGTACAGTCTGGGATAAAACACTTATTAATAGCAAGATTATGGAATTGATAACTTATAATACTTAAAGACCTAACTCACGATCTTTTCTTCAATCTTCCAAACTCCAGGACTCTTCAAACCTGATATTTTTCACAGTTCTAATGTCCATTGATAGCCAGAATGGTATCAATCCAGTTTTCCCTTAAGACAAATAGCACCAAAATTATATCTCTTTGAAATCTCATTCAATGTACCAGGGTGTCTGCTCTGATACCAATTGAAATTCTAGTACATGCAACACAAACAAACAAATTTGTCTTAACAGTAGAAGATGTCAAGACATATGCTACAATATCTGGTAAAAACTAGATCAATCAAGCTGAATATGATACATAAAATAAAATTGTAGAAAGATAAATAACACATGAAGATGATAACCCAGTTCGATGCAACGTCGCATACTCTAGGGGCCACAAAGCCTAGAAGGAAGTTCACTATAAGCAGTATTAGTTCAAAGCTAAACTGGTCCCAAATTTACAACTTCTCTCCTAATCCCTATCCAATGCTACTTCTATATAGGTCCTCCCTATGTCTGAGAAATCGACATCCCACTTCCAATCACTACAATGATATCTAACAAACACAGTCACATGGACTCAACAATTACAATTCAATTTAGAAGATCATTCTTCGAACACAAAAACTCAAACTCTTTGCTTAAAAGCTTCGAGTGAGAACAATACTCAACTCATTTCCTAAAGGCTTCTGAGTGAGAACAATAACTTGACTAACCATCAAGCAACCATCAGTCGATCACATAGTATCAAAAGATACATAGGTGACTTACAAAACTACACAAGAGACTCTCAATACTTAAGACTTATGTTTTTCCTAATTTTACAATAGTTAAAAATTTAAATTACATTAGGTTAGGATTCTCCTTTAAATACAACTACGCAATCCATGGGATTCGATAATCTGAGTCCAGAAGTTTCTTGGTCCATAAGCTGAGTGTTGCACCAATTGTGTAGCAAATCTCCTTAAATCTTAGAATCACCAATACATAGTTTCCTAATTTGTCTCAAGGCCCAAATTAGTATCTTATGTACAACTGGAGATATGAAATATGTTCCAAAATAAATATTCTTGACCTGCGAAAATGTCTGATATATATTCAAAAGAAATATAACATAATCAAATTCAACCTCTCAAGATTTAAAAACACCACAACCTTGACTGCTGCATAACAGAACACGATGTCATGACATCATGTTCGACATCTGGTCAGAACCATATTTTAGACAAAAATTATCAATTCTAAAACCATAATACTAACAGATTTGTATCGACTTAAAGTTATTTATTGTGTAAGCATAGACATATAAAAAATTCAATCATTTAAATATATTTTTTTTGGGGATTATGACATTATAAATTTTTAATTTAAAATTGTTTGTTTGATTAATCCAAATTCAATTTCAACTTGTGTGAGAATTGAATTGCGTTAATTAATGTATTGTTTTGTTTGTTTAAGCAACTTCATCTTTTTCAATTATTACAATATTTTATAATTCATGCAAAAACATGAAATACATTCAACATATATTTTCTAAATCTTTGCTATCTTTTGCTTTTGTTTATAATCTGCACAATTACTCTTAAAACTCTAATTGATCTATTTATCTATTAATAGGAATATTGCTTTTTCTTCACTCCATAAATCACGATTTCTAGAGCATTAAAGATGATGGCAGCAATTGGGAAATGCACCACCGTTTCTATGTCCTTAGTTTATGACTTACTGTTTATATTAATGATACCCAGCAAAGAAAAAGAAAATGATTTTTTTAAATAAAAGCAAAAGCAAAAGCTCATTTTAAGAGTAAATGAAGCAATCATATCTTCTGCACCCACTGACCACTAACTCTTTTCTTTATCTCTTTTTCTCTTTATAAAATCCTTTTCACTATCTCCAATTAATTCAATCACTAACTCTTTTCTTTATCTGTCTTTCATAATAAGTTTATCACATTAATTTTTATTTTTTATTTATTTTTAGTTTTATACATAAATTAGAATGAAATTCAATATGAGAGGAGAAATTCCAATACAAATACGATAGCAACTTAACATAATTGTTGACATCATAACATCATTTACGCAAAAGAATAGTAATGTATCAATTTTCAATGTATCACACTGTCAGTATCTTTAATTTATTGAAAGTTGAAAATTTCATTTCCATTCACATTAATTTGCTAAATTCTTACCCATAATGTTAGAGTACTCAAAAAATTAGTGACCCCACCTAATATCAAAAAACTCACATACTTTTAAGTTAAGAAATAACTTTTTTTTTCAGTCAAGTTAATGGATATAACAATATGGAACCATATTGTTTTTCTTTTTCACATTATATTTCTTTATTTTTAGTCCATTTCACATTCTTTATGTTTCTTTTTATTTAACCTACACAATCCTTAGTATAAAAAGAGAATAGTTCTTCTTCACCATTCAAACATTCAAATCTTGTTAACATGATTCTTCTACACTTAATGAAGTTCTCTGTCTTACTTTTTTTCTTGGTTGTAGCAACTTTTCTTTATCAAGTTCAAGCTTCAAATCATGGTTTCTTTAGTAGAAAAAAAGTTGGAATTTCTCCTACCATTGATGATGGTATATGTGCTTCTTCTATTATTGTTTATGGATACAAATGTCAAGAAATTCAGGTAATAGTAAAATTAATTAAAATTTTGCTGGACAAGTTGGATATCATCCAAATGACTTAATGCACGTTTAAAAAAAAGTTTTAAAATTATAATAATAGACTTTTTTTTTTAAGAAGGTAAAAATATTAAGTTTGAATTCTAATTTGGTAAATATGTTTTAATTTGTGAATAAATGATTTATTAAATGTTTGAAATTATAACAAATTTAAAATATCATTTTCAAAATTTGAATGATAAACCTTATTATATCAAATTTAATATTAGCATATACATATATTTATTTTTGAAGGTTGTAACTAAAGATGGGTATATTTTAAGCCTACAAAGAATTCTTGAAGGTAGGAATAAAGCTAAAAATGGGAGCATGAAAAAACAGCCTGTAATATTACAACATGGAGTATTAGTGGTAAGTGTAGTGAAATTCATGTATTGCATCCATTATGAACTTCAAATACTAGTGAAACATGTGTGTAACAATATAAGTTTTTGAACATTATATATGAATGCAGGATGGTATGACATGGCTTATGAACTCTCCAGAACAAGATTTGCCTCTAATTTTAGCTGATAATAGTTTTGATGTTTGGATTGCTAATACTAGAGGAACCAAACATAGTCGCCGACATGTCTCATTAGACCCCTCTAACCCGGTTCGATTTTATGTTTTTATTTTTATTTTTATCATTGAAAGATGACATTATTAATTATGTTTTCTTTATTCTTCATATGTAATAATATTATGGCAGGTCTTTTGGAATTGGTCTTGGGATGAACTTGTTACATATGACTTACCAGCTGTGTTTGATTATGTGTACAGTCAAACGGGACAAAAGATTAATTATGTTGGTCATTCTTTGGTACTATATTACTTACTAATTTTTGTTACATTTTTTAAATCATAAGTTAAACCAAAAAACTAGAACTAAAATTATTTTGATATTTGAACAAATGTAATTTCAATGGTATATATATAAAAATGTAAGTAAATAACTATTTCTTTTGTGTTATTCGTTTTTTATCTTAAAATTAAACACACTTTGATTTATAATTCTATATTTCTAAGATTAAAAGGTTGTGTTTGGCAGGGAACATTAATAGCTTTAGCTTCTTTCTCTGAAAGAAATTTGGTTAATCAATTGAAATCCGCAGCTTTGTTGAGCCCAATTGCTTATTTGAGTCATATGAACACTGCACTAGGTGTTGTTGCAGCTAAATCTTTTGTTGGTGAGGTATATAACAACACTACTTCTTATCACTCTTTACTCATATATTTTACTTAGTGTTATACAATGTAATAAACACCTTTGATTAATATATTTTCTTCTTCCTCATAAAATAGATAACTACACTAATTGGTCTAGCCGAATTTAATCCAAAAGGGTAAGAACATAAAACTTATCTTGTAACATAACAAGTTCTCTACTTAAATTTGAAATATCTCTCATTAATATATTTCATATACTATTTTTATTATTTAATTTTTTTAACTTGCTTGATTAGGCTACGCATCGATGCCTTTGTGAAGCTTCTTTGTGATTATCCTAGAATAGACTGTTACGACTTAATGACTGAATTAACTGGTTTAGCTCTCGCCCAAATTTATTCATAATTTGATTCTGATAATATTTATTTTCTTTTGACATTGCAATATGCATATTGACGGATTCTTCAATTTATTCATAATTTAGGTAAAAATTGTTGTCTCAATTCTTCAATTATTGACCGATTCTTGATGAATGAGCCTCAATCAACATCAACAAAAAACATGGTACACTTGGCTCAAAGTAAGATTTTTTCATCTACTTTTTTAACTTATTTATTCGGCTTAATTTCTTCTTAGTACTCAAATTTTAATATATGCAGTTGTTAGACATGGAGTTCTAGCCAAATTCAATTATGAAAGACCAGATTATAACATTGTGCACTATGGACAAGTAGTCCCACCAATATATAACCTATCAAATATTCCACATGATCTCCCTCTCTTCATTAGCTATGGAGGACAAGATGCACTTTCTGATGTTCGTGATGTTGAGAATTTGCTTGATAAGCTGAAGTTTCATGATGTCGATAAAAGAAGTGTTCAATTTGTGAAAGAATATGCTCATGCTGATTACATAATGGGGTTTAATGCTAAGGACATAGTGTATAATTCAGTTATTTCATTTTTCAATTCTCAAGGTAATACTTGATAATGGGGTTTATCGCTTCCAAACGTACTTGTGTCATTTACATAAAATGAGTCAAAGTTGCTTATATAGGAGAAGCCTTATTGGATTGTTGATTTTGATGAAATGTTTGGCCTTCATTGTTACCCTCCTTAAAATTTGGGTGGTCTTTTCACCCTAGATTGTAGATTGTAGGTGTTGGAGTATGAATCACTTTTCTATCGGTTACACATATACTTTATTTTTTTAATTCTTTTTATACACCTATAGGAAAACACGTGCAATTTGCATGTCCATCGCTACAAAAATTACACCTAAAGACTAGAGTTTGTTGAACATATTGTTAGATTGTTGTTGCACTTTCTAACTACTTCGTAAAGCCTTCCAACCGAGCACACATTTATTATGAATAGATAACAAGTCACTTTGAGTGTCATGTGCTAGCATTCCTTTCCTTCTGAAACCTCTATCTAATAATGCATAATATTTTTTCTGCACCATATTCTCTATGAGTTATTTTACCTCTATTCCAAAAAATTTCTTCAATGTTCTTTTAGGTGAGACATCAAAGAGCATACCAGTGTGACCCATTAGTCCATTCATGAAATGTGTTACTTCTTCCATACCAAACACAAGATTTACCATTAGGATAATCTTAGAACCAAATAAGAGATTTTACAACAGACTAAGTTCGTGAACCAAACAAATATTTTGACGAACAATTTCACAAACCAAATGAAAGTGTTTACACCATACTTAACTCACGATCCAAACTGAGTTTTTCACATATAATCTCACTAATTAAATGAGAGATTTTATTGACTTAACTCACAAACAAAAGACCAACTTCTCGCAAGAGATATTACACAATAGATAAAATCCTCTTGTGTAAACTATAACACAAACCCCTAACACCACAACAAATAAAATCCTCACTAGATATTTTTCACTCTCCAAAGAACTAAGACAATTTAGTGAAAAAGAAAGAAATGAGAAAAGAGAGAGTTAGAAAGTGAAAAAAATTATAAAGAAATATAATTTATAGGTGAAAATTTTGGATAAAAAAGGATAAAGAGACACACACCTTTAAAATGTAATTATCAATTATACCATATGGTTAATTTATTATGAACTTCAAAATACAACAACCATAATTCTCAAAAAGGAAAACCTACAACGACTAATGTCTTAATTGATTATAAGTGTTCTTAATCTATTAAGAAGTTGTATTCCTTTATTTAATCAATTGGTTAAGGGACTTAATTGATTATGCAGTATATACAAGCTTCCTAAACGTTTAGGAACATCCTTGATCAATCCCACAAGAACCTTTATGATTCCTTTAAATGTACCAAGGTGTTTTAGAAAATTTAAAGAGGATAAAACACTTTTAGTTGAGTGTGTTGATTGCCTTAGAAATTTGATAATTAATCTAATATCTTTACAATACTCTGTTCATCCGGGCATGTACAAGATGAGATTTCAAGTTCCATCTCTTTCAGAATCTTTGAAGCTCTAAGATCCCTTGTTTGATTTAACAATGATTCAACACTTCCTCTGGGAATTGGATTCTCTAATAAATGAGGCTTTATAAAGTGTCTTGATAGATACCATCATCAGATATTGCTCGACCAGAGATCATAAGAGCTTCCACCATACACTACTAGACATTATGTTATATCCTTAAAATGTAGGCTTTAATATCTTGATTTCACAATTAGAATAACTTGATCATAACTTTAGATGAAAACTTCACATCATTAGTTTGTCATCATTAAAACCATTGAGATCATCTTACTACTGCATATATTATTCCAGAAAGTACGTAGATCTATGCTACCCCCCTTTTTTATGATGACAAGATCTCTCTCGTGAAGGTGGATAAATAGACAAACAAAGATAAAGGATTGAAGTAGATAAACTCGTCCTGATAAATGTATAGAGTATACCCTGCTCACCTTGAAAGTAAACTTCTCGTCCTTTGAAGTTATCAAAAAGGAGGAAATATAAGTAGATAAGGAAATAAATCGAATCACATAGTCATGAAATTCAAATAAGGAGGAAAAATAACATAATTATTAGTAATTTAAAGGAAATTGATTCAAAGTACAAAAAAGTAGGAAAGTGTTGTAAGTAAACACACTAATGGAGATAAAAAAACATTACGCGAGGCTACTAATAAAGTATTATCATTATTGGCTATTTTCTTTCCCATCACATGATTTTTGATGAGCGCAACTTTCTTTGTTAACTCGTGAACAACCCCAAAAATCTCTTGGGAGATTTCTAAAAGGGTTGAAACATTCCTTTATTAAATGGTCTTTGATTGTCCTTGTTATCACTTGATTCCATCAAAACATTCTATAAGTTCCCATCATCAACTCAGACCTTGACCAGACTTAGAGGTTTTTCATTAATATTCCCAGGAGTCGAACTTGAGGTTTCAAAATCCAAAGATATTCTAGCTTTAAACCGGAACTTGGTGATAAAATCTCCATAGGGTAAACTTATTGACTTGCTCTTCTAGCACTGAACATGTAACATATCATTCCATAAGCCCAATTTGTTAGAACATAATTTAGTTCTACATCCCAGTTAGAGTTTGGATGATAACAAACACATGATATAAAGAACAAATATGCTCGCTAATAAAAGTATCTTTACATGCAGGAAGTTCTGACGTGAAAAAGATATTCTGATGCAACTGGAAGTTCTTCCTGAAAATCACTAGAAGTTCTGATTATGCGAGCATAAAAGTTGAGAGTACCATGATAGATTCAGACACATCAAATTTGTGTGACACGCTTATATGAAGAAGTTCTGTTACAACTTCTTAATGCACCAGCACTGTGAAACAGGATCTCTGATACTCTGATTTTCAAAGTTCTGATACAAGCTATAAATGACTCTCAACGGTAATATTCATCCCCTGATGTGAGAAGTTCTGAAGCGTTACAATTCTATCAACACATATCATAAGTAACGACTACAAACAGACAAAGATCTTCTAGTTTGGAAAGTTCATTAACTCATATTATGGACATACGAAAAGTATCTTCTTATGTCACTATTGCATGACCTATATAAAGCAGACAAAAAGAAGATTTCAGATGATGAACTACTGCGCACAAAAAGAAGAAATTAACTGAAGCTAAAGCAACATAACAATCATCTTTCATCCTTAAACATTCATACTTAAACTGTGTAAAACATCACTGTTAGTGATACTGTTTTAGTAAAAACACCATTGTACACTTTTATTCAATTATCTGTTTAGACATTTCCTTGAGAAAACCGGGTTGTAGTTTTGGACTCAAGAAGACTTTGACACTTTTCAAAGTAGTTGTGTAATCAAGTTTGATTAGTGAATTAAGACCTCATTGGAGAGAGGAGAAATCACCTTGGCGGGTGTACTGGAGTAGTTTGAGTTCAAGCGAACCAGGATAAAAATCAAAGTGTTATTTCCATTGTATTTCGTGATTGCAATTCAACCCCTCCTTCTTGTGTTTTTCACTTCTTCAATTGGTATCAGAGCACCTGGATCTGGGTGCAAACACTTAACCGTGTCAGAAAAAGATCCAAGGAGGAAAAACACTATGATGGGAACAAGTCAGAACATCAACAACAACCCTCCAATATTTGATGGTGAAAATTTTGATTACTAGAAAGATATGATCAAAAGTTTCTTCCTAGCCTATGACGTTGACCTCTGGGATATGGTGACTGATGGATACATACATCCTGTTGATGAAAGCGGTCGGAAGATGGACATAAAAAGAATGTCAGATCATCAAAAGCAAGACTTCAGAAATCATCACAAGCCAAAACTATTCTCCTAAGTGCCATCTCGTATTCAGAGTATGAGAAGATCACAAACAGAGAGACAGCAAAGCACATGTTTGATTCTCTAAGAATGACGCATGAAGGCAACACACAAGTAAAAGAAACCAAAGCCCTTGCGCTCATACAGAACTGTGAATTCTTCAAAATGGAAGAAGATGAAACCATTAAAGCAATGTTCTCAAGATTCCAAACTCTGGTTGCTGGGATGAAAGTTCTGGACAAAGGGTACTCAACCGCTGATCATCAGAAGTTTACCAAAACAATGGAGACCCATGGTCACTACTCTCAAACTGGAAAAAGATCTGAACAAAATATCTCTAGAAGAACTTGTCATCTCTCTCAGAAGACATGAGATAGAGTTAGAATATGATGAGCCTCAGAAGCAAGGTAAGTCTCTCGCTCTGAAATCTAATAAATATGAAACCAAATTTTTGCAGGAAAAAACAGAAGCAGAAAAATATAGAGAATCCTCGTCAGAAGAAGACGAATTGTTCTTTCTATCCAGAAGAATCAATCAGTTGTGGAAGCACAAGAATAAGAATTTCAGAAACTCCAGAAGAACATGAAATGACTTTGAACAATCTTCTGGATACAGAAAATCCAGTAACCGAAACATTACCTTCTATGAATGCAATAAACAAGGTCACTACAAAAGTGACTGTCAAGGCTTCAGAATGAGAAACCTAAAAGGAAGTTCGTTAAGGAGAAGAAGAAAAGTCTTATGGCAACATGGGATGACTCTGAATATTCTGAAGACTGAACAGAATCAGAAGATGAACAAGCCAATATAGCTCAAACAGACAACTTATCAGATGTCTCAGAATCCTCAGAATCAGAATCAGAATCAGACTCAGAAGAGGTATTTTCTAACTTTTTTAGATCTCAATTAGAGGGGAGTTTGTCAGAAATTCTAGAAAGGTATCAGAAGCTTCGAGTCATAAACAAGAACATGAAAAAGGATCTAGTTTATGACTTTGAAGAAACTAAGAATCTGAGACTAGAAAACTCTGAGTTTAAAGAAAAGGTTTTTAAACTTGAAAATGATTTACAAAATAATCATAGGAAACTGTCTCAGGAGTTCCAAGTAATCCTGATACAATCATAAAGGAATATGATCACAACTTTCAGAAATTCCTCGCTAAAAACATAGATAGAAGCAAGATGACTTCAATGATCTATGG